AAGGCAAGCCCCGGGATTGGCCACAGTACCGCGAGGGAGTGGTAATGTCCGTACCTAAAGGGAAGATGACACGCCCGTCGTACAAAATGCGCGGATAGGGTGCTAATCGTCAAGCGGCTGCAACCACTGGCACTTATGGCAGCGCTTCCCACCCACCGCAACTGATGTGGAGATCAGCGTGCTCTGTCGCATGTTCTGTCTTCGATTGTTTTGTCTCGAAGTCGTACCAAATCTTGTCCTAGTGGAGGTTAAGGCTTTAATTTCAGCGTTTTCGATGGCTTCTCCTGCTTCCACTTCCAGTTCATTCCGCAGCTCATCGTTCACTATGATGTGCTCTTATACACCATTCTTATCCCAGGGCTTGCATTTAACACATTGACGCCCGCGCTGATTTCGGCGCATGTCACACATCTGACATAGCTGCATTACTCTCGTGCATACCCGGCGATGCACAAACGCCACATGTGGGACATTGTATGGTTTACGGACTACTTGCGATTAGAGAACGGGTGAATGCCCTAGGACTAAGCCTTGGAGAGGAGAGGGACCCGCGAGAGAACGCAGAGGCGGTTTAAAGGGCTGAGTTCAAGTAGTCCGTTGACCGACATTTTATGAGATTTCATCACAGGTCGCATATGTCTCACTGCACGACCCACGTGCTTCGCCACAGGACCCACTCAAACTCAACTGCGTACCTCCCCATAGCGCCATTACTTTTGTCCTTTCTTTTCTACTTCTCGTTTTTCGCTTCATGCTCGGCTTCTTATAAGAAAGTGTATGCTGCTGTTGGTAGCCATTCAAGGTTGCAGTTAAATAATTCTTAAGGGTCCAAATCGAGGCCCTGGTTGTGAACTGAAGTTTAAGGGTGGCCCTTGCCTTCCGACTAAGTACATTCCCCTTCTTCGACTTCCGACCTTATCCTGGAGTCCTTCTTTGAGGATAGAATCACCAACTCGAACATCGCCTGGTCGCCGCAAATCAATGTTTTGGCCAAATACACATTCACAAGCACTATTGTACAAATTGAGCCGCATTCCAAAATGGAGCGGATCGAGATATTTTATCCTTTATCAAGATCGTTTCCGACGGATAAGAAAACCTCTGCACCATAACAACCATAACGAACTTAACTAACGGGAATAATTCCTCGAAAGATGCGTTCCTTTTCCGTCTCGCGATGTCTTCAGGGTCCCGTAACCTAGTCCATGGCAGGCAACCTTCGGAAAGCTCAGCCATCGAGTAGAAATTTGATATCAAGTCATCACAAGTGCACTACAAATGACAGTCTCGATGAGGAATTTGCATCTAGCCATAAGATAATTCTAAGACCTTAAAAATGACCTGATCCCTTCTTTCATGTACATTCAGCGACACATACCGAAGTGTGCCTCGGAATCCGACATGACCGCGACGTTTTATTATTCCTTTATCCTAAACGAAATTCATCTCGGTATTGTTGACAAATAACACATTTCTAGGGCCGAGTGCAGCTGCACCCGGCCGGGCATGGATCCAAAAAACTCTGTCTCTGGGGATTCGTCCAGAGATGCAGAGCTTTTGGAACCCGTTCCCGGCTGGGTACTGCTGCTCCCTGCCTCTGGTACAACAATCAACCTTGAATTGTCGCGCAAGGCCAAAATCCAACAGATAAATTCTTCGGATAGTGGCTGGTGTTGGTCCAACACACATATTTCCAGGTTTAACATCCCTATAAAGAATTTTAAGCATATAATACCTCACTATCATACTATCTAGGCAAGGTATACCTGTGAAGATACCCCATGTCATGAAGTACTTTCAGTGTGTCTGTCATAAGAAGACCGACGCGTAGCGCCGTTATGGCATCGAACCTGTGAATATGGATTCTCTCATAACGACTACAAATCGCTACAGCAACAACTTATCGGTATATCAGACAATGTCTTCGCCCACTCGGTTTCACAGAAACCTACGCAAAGCATGAGGTTACGCTCCAAAGGCATTACGTGTAGGGAAAAGCGTTTGGTTGGAAAATCGTACGGTCCTGAAGTTATGGGCATACCCACGAATCCCACTCCACGTCTTCTTCTGCCTTTCACTGAATGTCAAACTTCAGGTGCGAAACCTGCAGTGATTACAATAGCACATGGTGTCATCTTGTATAGGTAGCCCCCATTTCTACTCCTATTGACCTTAGCTAGGTCCTTACTGTTGTGTTTTCACTCCTACGCCAAAGGCCAAGGTAGTTAGGTATTTAGATTCTTTGCAGTTGTAGTAACCTGCTCCCCAGACTCCGCAGTATGAATTGGGTCATTGAAGAATGTCAAAAAGCTGAGCGAAGCCTTACTATAGAAGACAGTCAGGAGCGCATCTATTCCATGTGGTGGTTGGGATCGCACATGGAGTTTGCACCCGGAACACCTCTTATGGTTGCACCCCCGGAAGGCAGTACACAGGAAGAGGGACAGCTCTCATGGTTAGGAATGAACACTGGTAAGGTGGCAAATGGCTGAAATACTATGAACTCACTTCTTTCCCTCATTCTTTTTTCTCAGCTCTGACAAGCTCTTCCCTAACAGCTCCATGACGATAAACATGTAGTCGTCGAATGAACCACTTCCATACTAGAACATTTGGGGCTTGAATTAGAGCTGACCATTTGAATTGAGAACAATTCTAACCAGGAAAGCTTTTACAAGGCCATGTGTGACTGCTACACTCCATTTTACAACAATGTATCCCCTTACAACTTGACCATGACTATTAGCACGAAAGCAAAAAGCAGGCTGCACGAGACTTCGCCATTTACCTCTATGCGGTCTGAATGCCGCAGAAATCCTACTTATACACAACGCTCACGTTTGGTAGACCATGGTTAGCTAGTTAGTTCACAAAACTAGCCCCTCTCCTGGATGGCACCACCATGGAGCACTTGATCAAAAGTTGGAGCATTCGAAGAGCTAGAGCTTTCTTCTTTTTGGCACTTCACATTGAGAATTTTGTTGGGGGCCTTGGCAACAGCGAATCAGGCTTCCACCATCACAAGTCTCTGTTCAAAGAGAATCTAGTTTGTGCTCCTCACTCATCTGGTGCTCATCACTGAACTTAAACGGATTCCCTCTGATAAAATGCCCGAGTACCCGACAGGAGGCCCGTCGCGTCACGAGAAGGCAGAGACGCACAAAGATCAATGAACGTGTCGCAGCGCGTATGGTGCGGTTACAGCACGCGCTGCAACTCGGCCACTGATCCTTCTGCGTTTCTTCTCGCCGGGCGACGGGCTTCCTGTCGGGTATACAAGAAGTCCTCTCGAAGGAAGGAAATGTGATGGTGTGGAGAAGTGTTACATAATGGGACATCGACGTGATGTCATGGGCAGTCACGACCGCCTCTGATGAAAGAAACGCGCCTTGTGGGACTGCGCACTTCTACTTCGGATCACAAGTGCCGCTATAAAAAACGCCTCTGACGCGTAGGTCGAAATATCATGCTGTCCTTAGGGGTGATGTTGGTTTTTTCTTGAGATACCAAGAAAGAATACTGGGATGTTTGTGTACCAATACTCACTAGTTGTGGGAATTCTGGTTTGCCTTTAAGAGCGAATAGTATTTGCTGTTCTAATATCATTCGTTGTGGTTCATGTTTCTTCTGCATAATTTTTATTGCAACGTGAAGGTTTTTGTTCTGAAAAGTCAGCAGTATATGTTTCTTTACAGCTGCATTTTGACTGCCACCTAGAACGATTCAATTTTCTCCACTTACGGAGTCATACGCTTTGAATATTTGGCCATAACCACCAGCACCAAGAACCTGTTGCAGCTCGTACTTTCCCTGAATACTAGCGAAATGCGTCTGTTTGACAGAGGTACATACTCTAACCTTGCGAATCGCACCTGAATTACAGTCCCAAATGGTAACATGGGTATAGACTTGCTCGGTCTACGGGATCGATGTCGAGCTTTCCCTGCAGAGATCAGCTGAAAAGATTCACACTAAAAATGGGCGTCAACTGGAATCTATAGGAAGAAAGGCTCGGGCTCGGCCTGGCATGCAAAACTTAAGGACGAGTCAGATGAAGTATCATAACCTTTTGATAGCTTTGTGGGCCGTTTAACTGCTTTCTTTAGTGCCCTGTGGCAGCTCTTTGTATGTGTGGTTAGGTTCCATAGAGTCATGTTACGCGCCAGTAACACGTCGTTGGAAAAGCTACGTTCGTCCCGTTAAAGCTACGTTTTGCACACCAGTGTACGTGTCTTTTACACCAAGAGCCGATCTACCACGACTTTTTCGTCATGAACATTCATAGGTAAGAAATTCTTTCCCGTGCCGGATCCCATCAACAATGGTTCAGCGGCAGAAACTCGAGAAAAGGTCGAGCTGTCACTCGAGCTAAACGGGTCGAGCTGTCATGCAGCGATTGTTGAGGCAAGTTTATCACTTTTGTTCTGATCGTTTCCGTGAACAGCACCTATTTATCCCAGTTATGCACCAATAGACTTTTGCTGGAACTTTCAGTCCTTTCCCATTATCAAGCCAACCGCCGAAGAACTAGGAAGGGAGCATTGTTTCACGACGTTGGAACAGTTTGCAGCTTCCAATTCTGACAGTTCGAATGTGTGCGGAGCGGTATGTTTGGAGACTGCTACAACGGCGCGGTTTTCCTTTTGGTTAGGAGCGACCGAAAGATTTCGTTGGAAGCAGAGCAGCATGGGTGGATCTCAAAGCTGTAATTAAATTGTCATTTGAAATACTATTTGAAGGATGATGGCAAGAGGGGCAACAGCATGGATCAATAGGGATCTAATCGCGAGGTTGCACTTTGTATGTAAGGGAGTATGGTGGTGTTATGAAACCGATAGTTACTAGACAGAACACAACGGATTAAAGGATGGTCAAAAGAAATAATGTGGATACAAGCTGTGCGAGGTACTCACTTTACTCTAGTTGCCCCTTTTTTGTGATTAGCGCTCATGAACTTGGGTCAGAGGAAACGAGTGCTCGGAAGACTTTTTGGCCATACTATTTTCGTCTCTTATAAAATGGGGGGCAGTCTTGTCTAATGGGGACTCGCAAATGTGTGGAAGCATGATTTTAGCATGACGGGGACGCACCAATTATGCAAGAGGTAGTAGTTCCCAGCATCCAAGCGCACCCCACCACTCAACTTCTTACACTCGGTGTCCACACCAAGTAGTTACACCCTCCGGCTACCAGCTCTCACGGCACCGCAGACGTGAATGAGAATTTTTTAAGGTTTATGCGATGTTTCCGGTTTTCTAGGCTCAGTCTGCTCAAACGTGACACTACCAAATTAACAGTGAGGGCCAAAAACGGTCACTTCGACATGGGCGCAATGCATGATATTTTAGACACAGGGGCCATTGATAGGACAGTTTTAATGAGAAGACAATTATTCCAGATAGATCGACATCAACAAGCAGAGGCCGCGGCCCGCTTCACTTGTTCCAATTACCTACTTAAGAGTTATGAACGTCAATGGATGCCGTAACCCTCTGGGTTGGTCAAGGAGGGTCACAGCAGCACTCAGCGGGGTGAGTTGCTTAAGGATTTCCACGACTCATGGACCAGGGGTGGGCAGGGGATCGAAGTTTTTTGACGGTAAGAGCGAAGGTGGGGCATGGAGTTAGGTATGCTATCCACGAAGGTCATGAAAATGGTTTGAAAGGATGAAATTTTAGTATACATTGTTTCGGTGTAGTTCGACAGTGGATCGGGACCACCATGGGATTTGTCGGTCAGCAAGGATAACTTGCCGAGTCACGTGCCAATGGTCGGATGGTCCAGTGTGGGGGAGGATTCCTGATTAATTATGTCAGTCGCTTACAGAGGGGGGATAGTATAGCTAGAGACCAATAACCTGTCATCATACTCAGTTCCTGCTGGGATAGCGTGTCAGCGTTATTGGACAACATCCGGAGAACCTCGTGGCAACCGAGGGGTCAATGATCCCGTGGCGGAAACTGAGTGTGTGTGTTGTGTCGGATGTTAAGACTTCCGGTTCGGGATATGTGAATTTCTTGAAAGTTTAGGGGCTACTGAGTACCTTTGATGAAGTTTTTTGTGAGATTGAAATGTGTTCTTTCCCAGTTGAGATCGTCCGGTTTGAGTTCAGGAGAGGGTAACTGATTCCGTTTCGAATGTGGCTGGAGCAGGGTCAACCGTCCGTTGGACAAAGTCCAACGCGACGACGAGAGTAATGCCGAGAGTGAACGTACGCACGGAGACACAGACGGCTCGCGGGTGGCGAGAGTGAATGCCGGCGCGGAGAGCGGTGAACATCGGTCCAACGTCGCTCCAATATCGGTCCAACGTAACGGTTGACCCTGGCTGGAGTGACTCTCCTTTTTTGCCCCTCCCTCCTCTACACCAGCGCCTGGGACGGTAGTAAAGTGCCATAGACTGGGAGTTAAAGGTGGTGAACTACGGCCGTAAACGGTGAATAATGAAAGGCGAGACAGCCAGATGACCCCGCTCTGAATGGCGAACTTCACTACATTCCTAGCAAAAGTCGCGTCGCCATGGACTTGAACCATGTAATGCAGCGCCCATGAGCGCGACGTTTGCCACTGCACCACAAAGCATTGCTGGTTACTTTGAAAGAATTGTAGAAGCAAGGTAGTAACCTATGAGGGTTGCAAAACATCGAGTATCATGGAGAATTGATCCCGCGAGCGATCCAATGTCAACAAGGAACGAACCCACTGCGCCAATCGACGTGTTTGGTGGATCATGGCCTAGATGATTGTACAGGGTGAAATGCTCCCATGACCAAGGAAGGAGCTATAACACGATCAATAAGTGGAACACTGCAGGGGACAGCTGATCACCTTATTGGCAGAAAGTTATCAATATTATCGATAGCTCCAGTGGCTTTCTTGCTGCCCGCACTCTCAACACCTTCCACGAACTCCCCTTCTTCCCTTCGCTCTGCGCTCCCACGAAATCAATAGGCATGGCAGGGACGCAGAGACGCTCAATGCGACCAATGCATGACGTGCAGAGAAAGGGGAAAGTGCATGGGGATTGAAGAGACGCAGATAGACGGCGACTAAAATGTACTCAGGGGTACATTTTAGTCGCCCTCTACATGACCCTCTGCGTCTCTGCAATCTCCACGCACTTTCCCCTTTCTCTGCCGGGTTCGCCGTCTAGGCAAGGTGCCACCTAATACGTTGGCCACTTAAGATGTGGCCTAGACCTCGCCCTCTGCGGCAGGTCAGCGCGAGTTTCCCGCCTTTCCCAATGCTTTTTAGGTGCGGACGAAGGCGAGGTCAACGTGACCTATTGGCCAACTATAGACTGGCCGTTTAGGAGACTTTACTACCGCCCCGTGTGTGATGTGGCGCGGTGTCCCACCTTACCCACCTGCGCACCTCATGTGCCATGGCGTGGTGCACGCACCACCACCTGAAATGATTACTAGTATAAATGGTTGCTCTATATCTTAGTAGGAGGGTGTGATCATAATCACGACATCCAACTTTGCTCGCTGGTTAGATAGGGGTCGTTTTCCATTACTTTGATTCCTTATCACATCCACGCGCAGAAGATCGGGTGCTAAGGGGTACGATTTTCCGAATGAATGACATCTGCTTTAATCGGGTCAATCCAGCATGTTTTCCTATCCCTCCCGTTGTGACAAACTGCCCATACTCTACCAATTCTTTCAACCTCGACGTAGGTGATTTAGATGAATAGTTTTTTGAGCCGTCCAAGATAAAAGGATGCTGGTGTCGTCGGGTGAGGCATCCTTGTGCTGACCGAGCAGGAGAGTTACTTCGGAGAAAATGAAATGGCTTACTATTCGCACGCGCTCGGTGCCTTGGACGCGTTGGAAAGCAGGTAGCATGGCAGGGTCAACCGTCCGTTGGACAAAGTCCAACGCGACGACGAGAGTAATGCCGAGAGTGAACGTACGCACGGAGACACAGACGGCTCGCGGGTGGCGAGAGTGAATGCCGGCGCGGAGAGCGGTGAACATCGGTCCAACGTCGCTCCAATATCGGTCCAACGTAACGGTTGACCCTGTGTTATGGGGTGACTCCAGATAACTGTTAGGCGAGGTTGGAACCATTCCTTTCCAAGGATATACGTCTTGTCTTCACTCACTTGTTCCTTCGATTTATGCAATCGAAATGAGCACACCACACCACCCTACTCTAGGCCCGTTAATAAGGAAAAGGATGGTCCCACCTCTCTGCCCCCTAAAGACCTAAACTGGTAGGGGACAGTGTACGAGACGTTGGCTGATGAATTCTCAAATAATGATCCCCACCCGATGACACCGTGCCGGGTGATGCGCCTAAACTGAAGGTGGGAATCGCCTCTACAAGACGAATGGCCGTCCCCTGTATGTAGAATGTTATCGTGGGCGGCCCACGCCTTAATCGACTACACCGATGACTTATACCGCCCCACACCGTGCGCATGGCCGCGGCGACCAGCAGGCGTGAAAAGTCGAATACTGTAGGTCGCAGAGGTACGACCCCCCCCCCTGAAATCGAGATCCTGGCACGACCCCCTCTAACAGAGCAAATTAATTCAATTAAAATAAATCCTGCAAAACAAATCAAAAAAAATTCTGCAAAATAATGCTAAGGGACGCTTCATCTTGTCATCTATGCACGTCTTCCATCGCTGCATACTTTTGTGTACATACTGAAATATCGACTCGAGGAAAGAGGCATTAACTTTGTGTGACCTCAAGGCGAGGTTCGTTCAGAAACGCACAGAAATCCTGAAGACACGGGGTTGCGATTCAATCTTGATTCTTGCTTGAGTATATCAAAACAGCCGAGTGTATCAAAGGCCGATTCAACGGCAGCTGCGGCGCGATTGTCACTGGGTCAGATTTGCCGAAATTTCAAAAAAAAACGTCCGAATCTACACCCTCGATGAAAAGGTTGCATTCCTCCATTTCACAACCTTTGAAGCAGCTTGAGGTAGAGTTAGATAGAGCTGGATTTCGCGTTTCCAACAAGCATCGAAATTGCTCTGGAAGCCTTCCTTGCAGAAAGATAGGGTCTGTCAAATTTCGTCGAGTAAATGTCGAGGAGGCCGAAATTTTCACGCGAGTTTTTGCCACTTCAAGAGCAATATATCTCTTATATTGTAAGATCCTGAAAAAGGGAAGATAGTTTTGGAAAGCGGAAGGTTTGCGCTTCCTGATGGTCTGTTTAGTTTTCTTCTACAGCTTTTTGGTTGAAGAGATAATTGCGTCGAGGATCTATCGAGGTCGGATCCGGCCACCTGGAAATCCGCTCCCTCATTCACCATTGCAAGTGTGACTCGTTGGCAACACTCGGAATGTGTCTAGAACAATATCTTTGAACGCAAACAATAAGAATAGGAGCAATCGTCATCATCCGATTTGGTATTGGTATAAGCCATGCATCCCTCCTCCACTCACAGTTGCAGAATCGATTGAAAGGTGTTATATGATGGGACCTTCGAACGAAACTGTATTGTAGTAGACATAGTGTGTTGTGCTATTCCTGTAACCTAAAAAACAACTTCATTTGCCCAGCGCTTTTTCTTCACGGTTGTCGTTTTTCCGACAGGGTCCCTAACAACAGCGTCATTCTCAGCGAGGTATTAAGGGAGAAGGAGCGAGTGATAGGCGGAGGAGGTGCCCTTTGCAGCGCGTGCGCACATGTGGCACTCTTCTTTGCGGGGATGCACTTTCATTCTTTGTACTGCCTTCAAATACGCCCTTCTCATGAAGGTGGAGGAATGGAGCGACTGAACCTGCAAAGAAAATTTAATATCATGTTTTTTTTTTCGGATGTTTTCATTTTCTGCTGCGCTATACCCTATTACCTATCTGCACCATGATACCACTTCTGTTACTGACCCCCAAGAGTACGACCCCCCATGGACCAGCCCAACAGGTACGACCCCCCTGTCGAGGATTTCCTCGACCGATATTCACCCTGCCTCAAGTGAAGGACTCCGGCTGTGATTGGAGATGTTTCCATGTGTTGGTGTGAGCGTTCATAGGTTGGCGATGCTACATGCGAATTAGGCGATCAGGCGGATGATTCCAAATTAAATATACTCGTGTCACGGATAAGACGGTTAGGGTATGTTGCGCGATAAGAAAGGATTACGTATTTGACCTTGCGAGCGATCGGCTATACGCCTTAATCGCCTAATCGTCCCTCGTCCTCACTCGCCTACAACAACCCCCAGGGGCGAGCAATAGCAATTAATATTGGGTATGGTCTTCTCGTTTCGCTAATCGCGCAATCGCCTAATCGCACGTGCGGTCGTCAACTCTGAACGCTCCATTAGATGTTTACACTGTTACCGCCGTACTTGGCTCATTCATTTCAAAAGGGCACTTTATGTTGAGCGGCAGTATTCTTCAGTTCTTCTATATTACGCATTGTCAATGAAGACGTGATAGTTATTGGCATGTGTTTGAGAGGTTAAGTTATATTTGCACTTGTCTTTTTCAGGCTCTGGTCAACGCGAAAAAGTTGGTACGTTAAAAGTTGGTTTCGATGACGTAGCCTTGGTGTTCAGACTTTGACGATGCGAGCACCGACGTAAGTTCGCCCGTTTCAGAGTCAGTAGGCGAAATAAGTGCAGGTTTTCCGTTTGTTGTCTGTTGCTCTTCTTGCTCTCAACTTTACTGCCACACATTTTAGTATCCCCGCATGAGTTGTCTTATCTCGATAGTTTACTGAAAGCTTCATCAGCGACGCGTTTTCTTTTGTCACAGCAGCCTAACAATGGTATCCGTATCCCCCCTACTTACACGGACCCGCTTCAATTATTTAGTTGTACTAACTACCTTAAAGCTTCAGTATATAATGGTTTTGACCGTTTCCTTGAATTAGCAGCAGTAGGTGCATCTGCAGTAGCATGCCCCCTTCGAACAATAGACCCTCCCCACTTTCGATTCTATTGACATAAAACTCTGAAAGCCTTTGCATAAGCTTGTATAGAGACAGCCGGCCGGCTGTGCTCATATCGTTGAGGGGAAGGGGTACATTCGAGTGAGTAAGCCACTTTCAGTATCTGAAACTAAGCCAGGGAGGGAGAAGAAGAGGATATGGGGGAGGATGCAGCCGTTCGTGTTCTTCCCGACGTTTTTCCCTCTCCTGGGCTTAGTCCATGTATCACGTGTCATCAGCCCGAAGTCCCCCTAAAGGCCACAAGCGCGTAGCCGCTCATACAGTCATAACGGTCAAAAAGCCTAGTCCCAATAAGACAGAAAGTGTGTGCTTTTCCAGCTACGCTCTCAACCCTTGGTTGACAGAAGCCTTGTAACCGTAAAATTACACTCTATGCAGCTTACTCTTTATTCATAAGTTATGTTAATCTTCTTGTATGCACTCACCGCCGGTGTCACTCTCCCTCCAGGACTTGTCTGTTGCGGTACCAACGATGACTGTAGTTGCTGCGTCATTTTCTCGTCGCTTCTCGTCACGTTCGTCCGATTACCTTCTCTTGTAGTAGACACGGAGGGATTTTTTCCTGTGCCCAGTTGTTGGCTGGTTATCTGCATCTGGAACTGATTAAAGCTCTTCACAAATTGGTTGAACTAACCAGCCGGCCCACCTCATCGGTTTTCACTTGAACGCCCTCCACGATGAGCTACAGTAGAATCAGAAAACTGCAGCAGACGATTGAGTGTAACTGCCCTACCAGCAGAATGACAGTATTTATAGTGTTTTGTATCATGATCACAATCACTTGCATCTCATTGAGTAAATCATTTTCTTTGTGTATCAGTTTTTGGTTTTACGTCGGTTTGTTGGTCTGTCTCTTGACTACATAGGGATACGTGTGATAAGGGAAGGGGTGAGAAATACAAATCGTCAATGAAACTAGAGGAATTGGGTCTAATGCTGCTTGTAGGGACAACTGAACATGAGTTGTGAATCGCTCATAGAACTGCGGGGTAGCGTTAGGGAAGGCTTCTGTGAGAGGATGTGAGCAACCGTTGTTCTCCCTGGTGTTTATTTCCAATCCTGGGCTTAGACCTAGTGTCACCTACCCTGCCCTGTTTTGAATGTTCCCCTAAGGACATGAGCGCCCAATCGTATAACTGAACTCCACTCCATCCCAACCCAATTACCGCGTGATTTTGAAGGTGTTGTAGATCCTCCTTCATAATGTGGCACACCTACTACACAACGTATCGCACTTGGAGCCGAGAAAAGGCAGCGTAGGCAGGCAAAAAGAACACCTTGTGAATGCTGGGCATACAAATTTGGTCAACTTTGAATCTGCGCCAGCGCTATTTGTGTCCACTGGAGACTAGTGAATAGAAGCGGGCAAGAAGTGAAAAGGACTTGTTTCTATCTCTTCCTCCTCCGCGTCGGTGGCGGGTCCCTTTCTGGTTAGAGTGACGGCACTTTCCGCGACTGAGATGGGTTGATAGCGACCAATGCCAACGATTTCCGATCATTTTGGTGTAACAATCTTTGAATACGAAAGTAGTGATGCAAAATGGACCACAAAATTGGAAAGGCCCACATGCAGCTTATCAAGCCGCCTCATGTATCCCTTATTAGCTTGCCTTCCAAGTACCTCTATGTTGAGGTCGATCTTATGGACGCTGTCATCATTTTGCGAAGAATGTGGTCATACCATCGGAGCCGGGCCTTGGGTTCTTTCTCTGTGTAATTAATCCATTTTGGAGTCCCTTTTGAAAGGTTGGGACCTTGAGTAGAGCACTCGAGATGGATCATTTGTAATGGACTTTACCCTTTTTTCTACTGAATGCTTTTCTCTAAGAGAAAGTTTTATAATACATATGTTCCGTCATGAAGGGCTGCGCCAGCATTGTGAAGCGCTGGCTGGGTTTTCCATGAGTATGTTTCCACTGGCTCTTCGCACAGAGGGAGAAATCCTGAGGAGATGCGGTTGCAAGGAGCCAACCTCAGCCATTTGTTTACATTGTGATCAGGTCATGGATTGCGACAAGAGGAAGATATCATTTGGGTGTGTGCACTATAAATAAGATTACAGCATGAAAAAACATTTTTCCTAGAACGGCACAACCTGAGCCCTGAGCAGCAGAAGCAGTTGAGTAATAACCGGGCCTACTTTTTTCATCAGAGTATACATCTCGTCTGAGCTGAGAATTTCTGCCGAGGCTAGCATAACGTCCTGAACACGAACATTACTTACCTCTTTGACGAAAACCGCCGCGAGCGCCGGTGCCCAGGAAAGACTTGAAGACAGATCTCTAGATACGTCCACTGGCTTCGTCTCTTCAGTAGATAGAATAGAACTATCCGAGGAGCCCAAAACTCGGCTATCATATTTAGCAAAACTTTGTGAATAGCTTCCATAAGAATGGTGAGTTATGAGCAAAACAAAAACAAGCTGAAATTTGGAATAGGGTTAGTTTAGGAATGTGATAACGAACATTTTAATCGTTTTGCAAGGGAAAAGCATGATCCCATTCCGTAAGTGAAGCATTGAAAGTGTATTCCGGTTAGGACTACATTTCTTCAAAAACAAGCAGAATGCGATTAAACGTGGCTCGAACTTCCCCCTAAATAAGCTGGCATTTTCTGAATTTTAGATTTCATTCTCATGCACATTTTATTGAAAATTCAGGCATTATCGCAATGTACGGGGCCATCCTCCAGGACTAACCATAAGCCTAGCAGAGGCAGGAACGCCGGGGAAAAATGCCTCACTCACCCTGCAGTCTTTCCTCCCCCTGAGGCTTAGTCCCCCCTCTAACAAAAAGGACATGTTTCACGCGATTTTTAAAGCATTGTCACAACAATGCCACCGTATCTTGCGATAGCGCCGTGCGTCATCACTTCCCTTTATAAGATTAAAGGACGAATTCACGATGAAAAAGCAACCCATTTCAAATTAACCTAGGGATGGTGAGTGGTACACGAAAGAAGGAAGAACCATGAGAAACGGCCCAGAACCCGAGAAATGGACCCCTTCCTTGCCCGTTGATTCGAGCATTGATGCGACTCTCATCGCTG